TAATCATCCATCATTACTATCCAAAATATAAAGGAGTTTATCCAAAATAGTCAATTCTAATTCACTTCCCACTGAAAAATAGAACGCTGATTCATCAGTTAGGCTTGATCAAAATGTACGGTCTAAAATCTGTCAAAGAACCTTTAGTATGACTAGAAATGCTAATTTACAACTAATTCAATACAAAATCCTTCGTAGAGTACAATATGCGAGCCAATGGATATTAAAGATGGGTTTTGCACAATCTGATATCTCCTTGCAATGCTCAAGTAATGCACCAGCTGATTATATACATGTACTATGATTATGGAGTCCTGTTCAGAAATTCTGATGTTTAGTATGTGAGGATCTGTTGTCTGAGATGTAATATTTCACCCTCTCCTTCAGTCTGTTTAGTGGGCAAACTAGATGATGTCAGCTTAGACAGTGTTTCCCTCTATGTCATCTTCACTGCCTTGTGTAAAGAAATCATCTTCATGAAACAGTCTAAATATTAACCAGTACAGAGAAATTCTGTTCGATTATATTAACTTAGAGAAAACATAAGTACGGTAGAGGAGTCTCAACGAAGGCTCGAATAATCTGGCATTGATGAGTGGTCTGAACGCTGGTTAAATAGAGGCTGAAGCAGGAGGATCAGATGAGCAGTAATGAGAACTGGGTGGAAATAAGCAGGTTAATAGCAATGAGTAATCAGAGCAGACAGCAGCGCCTAGATCTTAACAATCTGACCGAATGTTCTGAAAACCGTAGCATATTTTCACTTTTACACTATTTAATGGATCGTAAGTGATCTGCTAAGCATAAGCCTAGCCACAGTCTATACACTTCTGCTTCTTCGTCTTTGGCTGCAAACAACAGATGATTACCACCCACTGCTGTTTGTATGCATGGGTCCTAAGACAATTGAAAATTGTATTATTATACATTGAGAAGCCATTGTTGTTAATAAGAACACAGCCACTTCATTTATTCATGTGTCAATTTGAAGTAGCCCTATGTGAAGTGGACAAAAGAAAATTAAAGCAAAAAATATTTTCTTTCCCTTTGAGATAGATAAAGTATTTTTGTATTTAATTTTACTTAAATACTTAATATATTAAATCAGGTACCTGTTCTATTGGCATACCAATTCTGTGTGGTGACATTTTGCCTTTATTTTCAGAGTATTCACATTGTTCTTCAATTGCTGTTTAATCTATAATGTCTAACAACTTAACTCATGAATCAAAACCAAGTCACATGAAGTTATTAGCAAAACTAACAGAGCACTTATTGTCTTATGTCTTAAATTAAGACTAAAGAAGCACTTAATGAAATTAGATTTATCAGTTTAACCAAAAAACACAAAGCTGCCACAGACACCCAACAGCTATTTCAATTAAAAATAACTCCTTTTGAAATGATTTGTCTTCTATATGTGACAGGCGTTACGTGTTAAGAAAGAATATAACCCTAATATCTGCTGATGTGGAATTTCAGTCTCAGCCTGGAAAAAAGTTACTTTATGAGATAATGCCTATGTATTACAAAATAATAACAAAAACATATAAGGCACCAAACTTTAATAAGTAGCTTTATCATTTTGAAGGTTTTTCTATTCTGATATTCTTATATATCATCAAGGATGACATAACTTGAAAATGGCTTATATAGAACAATATAAACAGTCTAAAGAAAAAAAGTTAAATGTGTCATGTCACCTGATTTGATATATTATGGTTAATTCATGATGACTGCGTCTGTAGGCAGCGGCTTGATACAGCTCTAGACCAATACACAAAATACGCTGCTTAGAACGTTACAAATTAGGCATCGATCCTGCATCTACGACTCTTGGGGGATTTCATCATAATCATCATCATCCCAACACTCAGAGATTGGGTCCCAAGCCCCAATAACAACAACAAGCCCACTAAACGTAAGGGCGGCTGACCTATGACTGCAGATCAAAACCAAGCTGGACCCCCTAGAACGATGACCAAGACAAGGTTGAGTGACAGAGAACCCTCTGAAAGCCTTCTAGAAGATGTAAATGCAGCACTACGTACTATCCCTACTAAAGACCCCAAGGCTACAGTGATCCTAGAGGCAACACGAAGCGAGGTTAGACAGCTCTCAGACCCACAGAAAGGTGTAGGGCAGAGGTTACCTAAGTATCTAATGAGGCTCTTGCTTGGAATGACTATGATCTGGATGACTTAGAATATTCACCAGCAACTTGCTAAAAAGGCTACGCACATACTTTTATACATTGTGGCTGTTCAAATGTATCTATGGTTCTACATAATATATATATTTTAAACAGGTTTTAGGCAGTTGTTCTTCATATCAAGACAGTAAAAACAATATAGAGCAAAATAAAATTATGGAAAAATAAAATATAGGATGAGACGCTGCAGTAAGGACAAGAGCATCACATATTAGCCCCTAGTCATAAAAGGCACACTTTGAGTTTACCTCAAATGCCTCTTCTTTGTACTCATGAACATTTAAGATGTTAAAGCTGATCAATGATGGTCCTAACAAAATATGTTTTAGATAGACATTCAAAAGTCAAGTTATACCTTATGAAGTGAGATCTCAGTTTAATCTCATTCTCAGGATTTCAACCAACGTCTGCTGTTTATTAGAGGAACTACAAGACAATAAACACTGTATCTTTTTAATATAAATATATCATATCAGCTTGAATCTGAGGTACTATTGAAGTATACAGTAAGTTCACACATGTTGCACGTTAAAAGAAAAAAAAATAGATAAAATACACCAGTGTACTTGATAGAGACAATTTTTCTGAAGGCTTTTTATGTGCAATCACATCCTGGTATTGTTCAACATTAATAATTCATAGCCTCTTAAAAAGGATTTAATCTTCTCGTCCAAGGAAAACAATTAGAGATTTTTATGTTATATCAGACTTTATTATTAAAGTCAGTGTGATTAGATGAAAAAGGTTACCAGATGCATGCTCATCCTGTCATTCCTCAAAGATCAGGGATCCCCTGTTCGTGTTTCTTCTTGCAGTGACCTGATCGGGTAAAATGTCTTAAAATTTAGTGGCTGAGCAACACTAGGACAGCCCCTTAATGATAAAATATCCATATAACGGCAGCACACATTATTTATACCAATGGACTTTTTTTTTTTTTTTTTTGCAAATGCACTATTTATTCCACAGCATTGAACACGCAACACGCTGTAGCACAAAAGACATCACATCCCATTAATTACTGGGTTAAAAATGTAAATTAATGTATGGATTAATGATATCATCGGCTTGAAATACTGCAGGACTTCTTGACTCAGCTTGATGACATCTACCATAGACTTTGCATGTAAATCAAATGCTCTACACCAGAGGTGTCAAGTAATGAAGTACAAATACTTTGTTACTGTACTAAAGTACACAATGACTTCCACTCATTACATTTTTACACAAGTTTCTGTACTTTATATTCCTTACATTATTAAAACAAACGTTACTCTTGGCTTAGGTTTAATGTTTATAAATATTTATTTCACGTCATGTGCTCCATCCAATGCAGATCAATGATACCTTTCACATCTAGTGAAAACTAGTGTAATTGGATGAGTAATATAACGCCAACACACTGTCACAGTAGGGGTGGTTGAGGTTTAATAGGACCCAAATGCAGACAAAAGCTTGAGGTGGTTACTTTAATGTTTTAATGACAAAAGTATAACAGAAGCAAAAATCCCAAAAATATAAATCCACAAAAATCTAAAAATGCTCAAAACCAAGAATACTCACAACAAGAAGGGGACAAAATAATGTCGACAAACCAGCAAAGAGTGACTAAGCAGGAGGAGAATAAATGGGAGAGAGAAACAAAGACCAGGCTAATTAGCGGATTTGGAACAGGTGTGAACAGAGGCAAGAGGAGAGCTATGGAAAAGGAGACTGAAATAAGAGGGCAAACTAGAAATATCTAAGAACTCAAATACAATCAAAAATAACTAGAACACAAGAATGAAAAATAAGACCAATGAAAACTCAGAGATAAAACCAGAACAAAACCAAAACCATGACAGACTCATTGGTTAGCTAAAGGAAATCATCAGAAGCAAGCAGGTGTTCTTCAAACTGCAAACGTGAATTGTCTATGCCATGCTACAATGTTGGATTCAAAAACACGTTGAAATGTCTAAAAGGTCGGACACCTACTTTTAGGTTATCACTTGGTAACTATGACAATCATTCAGAAGCAGTTTTTTTTATGTAATACTCTGAACTGTGAACCGTTTCTAAGCCAACAGTGATGTAAGAACCCAATGAATCTGATGTATAGTGGAGACAAATTTACACTGAGATGTAAGATCTATGAATAATTAAGTTAAATACTAAACAACAGTAATTTTTTTAAGATTATTAGATGGGGTTAAAGAAATATATTTTTAACCTACCTAACAAATCCCTAACAATACCCTCGTAATACCTCCCTGTTTTGTGTCCGAACTAAAGTTTCCCTAACTAGTTTATCTAATTGTGATAGTTCCTCGATCAGGATAAAAAGTCATCTTCATTATGTACATGGCAAAGATTTGGGAATGGAATGGGAGCCTTGATCTAAGAACATAGTGTAATACTTGGATAAGGCTGGAGCCATGGATGTCTCCTCATTTACAAACATGTATGATGTAATGATGGGATGATGTGGCAGAATGGAGTTGTATAAAATGCTTCTTTAACTGTGATTTGGGGCCAAATTTAACTAGATGTGAGCCCGGTTGGTAAACTTCTGTCATTCAAAGCAACTTCTGACAAAACAATTTCTGTCAAAATCTGTTGTCATGTTTCAAGGTTATTTAATACATCAACATTATGAAGTGTTATTTAAAGAGTTTGTCCCTAGTGATCTCTTCTCAGGAAAATAACCACAGATAAAAAGCTTAAGGTGTAAACAAAGAGCTTTCCATGACATAAGACTGATGATGTGATTTTCTTTGTTTTTTTATATTTGTTTTAAACCTAACAGCAGATAAACTCAGAGCCACACTGACAGCAGATGAAACAATCATACCACTAGGGGGCAGTGTTAGACTGACCTGCTCTGTGGATGGATCTGCTGACTGGAAGTTTGACTGGTTCAGAAATGGGCAACAATATTCTGTAGTCCAGACCAGAGGAAACATTGAGCCATACAGAGACATCAGCATCTCAGAGGGAGGTCTATACAGCTGCAGTGGAGGAAGAGGAGATCCAGTTTTTACAACAGAAACAAGCAAAGAAATCTCTATTAGGAAAACTGGTGAGTTTGGCTCTACATTTTAGAAAATGCTTTCTTCAGCTCTAATCTACAGTATTTATCAGTGGTGTGTAAGTATCCATTGTTTGATATTAATGAGAGCTTTAAATAAAATGAAAACAATAATTATATGATGGTAGCTCCATTGGCTGATTGCTTGAATTTGAAGTATTTTACTTGCATTTCAATGGTAGCAATGAAGATAATTCAGGAAAGACATTTTTATGTAACACTCTAACAAACAAATAACTATTGTGAACAGTCTCTAAGCCAACAGTGACCCAGCAACCCAGTGGCTCTGATGTATACAGAGGAGAGAAAGTCACTCTGAGATGTGAGATCTATGGAGGTGGAGGAGCTCAGTGGACGTATGAATGGAGACCAACCAGCGGAAACTCTCCAACATCCAGTGAATACAGAGTCTCTACGTCTGACAGTGGAAAATACAGCTGTAGGGCTGAAGGAGATCATCAGATAACAGAATGGAGTGATGCTTTAACACTGACAGTGATTGGTGAGTAAAAGTTAAGAGATTTTTTAAAGATTCTTAGATGTGGTAAAAATGTCATGCTTTTTTTTTGTTTGTTTTTTTTACTAAAGTATGATTATGATGTGATATTTTTCTACCTTTTGTTTTCAACCTAACAGCAGATAAACCCAGAGCCTCACTGACAGAAGAGAAAACAACCATACCACCAGGGGGCAGTGTTAGACTGACCTGCTCTGTGGATGGATCTGCTGACTGGAGGTTTGACTGGTTCAGAAATGGGCAACAATATTCCGTAGACCAGACCAGAGGAAACATTGAGCCATATGGAGTCATCAGCATCTCAGAGGGAGGTCTATACAGCTGCAGAGGAGGAAGAGGAGATCCAGTTTTTACAACAGAAAAAAGCAAAGAAACCTCTATTTGGAAAACTGGTGAGTTTATTGTTTAATTCTGGGATAAGCCAATGCTCTCTTTGTATCTCAGCTATTAATCAGTGCTGTTTAAGAATCCATCAGTTCCAACAAAAGAGAGCTCAATACAAAATGAAAATTGTAATTGAGATCCAGTTTTTACAACAAAAACAAGCAATGACATTTCAATTTATTTTTTTAATTCTGTTATTTATTTTCATTCTCTTATTTTAATCTGGCCAAATTAACACTCTCTTCAAATCCAAGCTATTAATCATTAGTATTATTTAATCATTTTGGTTAAAGTAAGATTTTCAATACCAAATTATTTATTAAGCTGTTGAGAAAAATTTTAGCAGATATAGAAATATTAGACATTAACAAAACTATGCACATAATACAGCCAAATGTGTTAATGTAGTTTAAAAGCTCAGATAGAAAACTGGTTATCTCTGATAACTCGAAACATTTTGGATACAGTTTGTCTGTTTAATGAACATATTATTTTTTATGTGTTTATTGTAATCTACCCTCTGTTACAGTCTCTATATTGCATGAGTGTGTCTCTAATTTGCTCTGTGATAGAAAGGTGACCTCTATCACAATAACCACTGGAGATGAACACTAGTTCTGGAGCTATACATTGGCTGTCTGGATTCTCAATAATGCAGATGTTTGAATCTATAAAATAAATCCCCAAAGTAACAAAGTCTAACAGATGAAAATATGATATTTAATCTACAATGGTGATTCCCAATTCTGGCATAAAGTAGATCAGAGATCTTTAATTCCAGTCCTTGAGGTCTGGTGTCCTGCTCCCTTTAAACGTGTCTCTGCTTCAACACACCTGAATTAAATGGATGAATTACCTCCTCAGTATGAAGAGAAGGGTCTGGTCCCAATGGTCACACTACACCCTACGCCCCTCTGTGAACTATGTAGTTGGTCAGACTGGGAATGACTTTTACTCTGTTTTCATTTAAGCTCCAACATTTTCAAATGCAGACAGCTTTAGAAAAACAGATATTTTCAGGTTTGAACGTAGAGAACAGTTATAAATTCACATACATAATACCTGGTCCAAGTAATCTGTGACACATGATGCTAGAAAACTTCACTGAAGTGATTTAGTTCATACTGTTAGTCTATATGTTGAGAGGTTGGTAGAAATGTTTATCTCAGTGCTAGATGTGACAGCTTACTGCTTTATATCTTTCTTTCTAATTGCTTATTTTTATATATTAGCTACAAAACATCTTCTTGCTTTTGGGATTTAGATATTTAATATTGTATTATTAGAAAGAAACAAATCAAATAACATTTTCATTATTTTTATATAATATTTTCATGGTTGAGATTAAATTGTTATCCATAGCAATTAATTTTATTGTAGTTTCTGTTTAATATACATCTATATCAGTATTCTGACTGAATATCATTTATTCCAGTGTCTAAGCCCACTGTGACCCTTCTACCCAAATGGCCTCAGATATTCAGAGGAGAGAAAGTCACTCTGAGATGTGAGATCCATGGAGGTGGAGGAGCTCAGTGGACGTATGAATGGAGACCAACCAACAGAAACTCTGAAACATCCAGTGAATACAGGATCACTGCAGCTACTGAATCCTACAGTGGAGAATATAGATGCAGGGCTAGAGGAGACTATCAGATAACAGACTGGAGTGATGCCTTCAGACTGACAGTGAGAGGTGAGTCAGACTGAACATGTTTAGTTTGTCTTGTTTTCATACACATCAACCTAAATAAAATATTAGGCAACTTTGTTTGATGAGCAGAGATGGCAAAAGTACTCACTTTCCGTACTTGAGTAAAAGTACAGATACTTGTGTTAAAAAATACTCTGGTAAAAGTGGAAGTACTGATTAAACTTCTTTACTCAAGTAAAAGTAACAAAGTACAGGCTTGTAAATTTACTTAAAGTATAAAAGTAAAAGTAGAAACCACTTTTTTCATGCCGTTGCCTACATTTTAAATGGATGTCTGCCAATAGGACTAGATCTCCGTTGTGTTCATTTTCAATCATCTCGTCGTCCATACTACTATGCTAACGCCACCGCCACCAAGCTGCAATGATTTGCCACGAATGAATACCGCCGAATCTGTCGATTCATCTTGTAGTGGTGCTTCAAATGCAACGTAGATTCCCATCCAATTAGATATAATTTGGTATTGATGACGTGAAAAATTATAACAGTAACTCCATTAAAATATACAAAACTAAAGTAACGAGCCAATTTTTAAAAATGTAAGGAGTAGAAAGTACAGATATTTGTGTAAAAATGTAAGGAGTAGAAGTAAAAAGTAAATAAGTAGTAAAGTAAAAATATCAGAAAAATCTACTTGAGTACAGTAACGAAGTATTTGTACTTTGTTACTTCCCATCTCTGTTGATGAGTGAATGAGCCCAAATGTGGAAATACCAAACAGTAGTATAAATATGCAGTTAGGGTCTAAAAGACATAAAATAAAGGAAGTTTTTTCCTCCGTACGCTTGTCATGTTTTTAAATCTTAAAGAAGGTAGAATCTATATTTCCTGTATCTCCATGCTTTAGCAATATTTCTAAGCTTTGTAACAGAAGATAAATGACTCATTCAGAGGTTAAGGACTGATTTATTTCATTGAAGACTTTCTTAAAACAAAACATATTCTAATGATGGTCTGTTTTCTGTTTGTTTCCACCAGCAGATAAACCCACAGCCTCACTGACAGCAGATCAGAGAATAATACCACTAGGGGGCAGTGTAACACTGACCTGCTATGTGTCCAGCTCTAATGGCTGGAAGTTTGACTGGTTCAGAAATGGGCAACAATATTCTGTAGTCCAGACCAGAGGAAACATTGAGCCATACGGAGACATCAGCATCTCAGAGGGAGGTCTATACAGCTGCAGAGGAGGAAGAGGAGATCCAGTTTTTACAACAGAAACAAGCAATGAATTCTCTATTAGGAAAACTGGTGAGTTTAGCTCTACAGTTTAGAAAAATGCTTTCTTTAGCTCTCATCCATTTATCAGGGATGTTTAAGTATCCATTGTTTGATATTAATGAGAGCTTTAAATAAAATGAAAGCAATAATTATATGATGTAGCTCCTTTAGCTGATTGCTTGAATTTCAAGTTTTTTATTTTCATTTCAATGGTAGCAATAAAGATAATGCAGGAAAGAAATTTTTATGTAATATTTTAACAAACAAATAACTATTGTGAACAGTCTCTAAGCCAACAGTGATCCAGCAACCCAGTGGGTCTGATGTATTCAGAGGAGAGAAAGTCACTCTGAGATGTGAGATCTATGGAGGCGGAGGAGCTAAGTGGACGTATGAATGGAGACCAACCAGCAGAAACTCTCCAACATCCAGTGAATACAGGATCAACAGAGTCTCTACGTCTGACAGTGGAAAATACAGCTGTAGGGCTAAAGGAGATCATCTGATAACAGAATGGAGTGATTCCTTCAGACTGACAGTTAGAGGTGAGTCAGACTGAAAATGTTTAGTTTGTCTTGTTTTCATACACATTAACCTAAATAAAATAGTAGGGAAATTTGTTTGATGAATGAATGAGCCCAAATGTGAAAATACCAAACAGTCGTGTAAATATGCAGTTAGAGGCTAAAAGACATAAAATAAAGGAATCGTTTTTTCCTCAATCTACGCTGGTCCCGTTTATAAAGCTTAAAGCAGATAAAATCTATATTTCCTGTATCTCCATGATTTAACAATGTTTCTAAGCTTTGTAACAGAAGATAAATGACTCATTCAGAGGTTAAGGAATGATTTATTTTAGTGAAGATTTTCCTAAAACAAAACATATTCTAATGATGGTCTGTTTTCTGTTTGTTTCCACCAGCAGATAAACCCACAGCCTCATTGATAGCGGATCAGAGAATAATACCACTAGGGGGCAGTATAACACTGACCTGCTATGTGTCCAGCTCTACTGGCTGGAAGTTTGACTGGTTCAGAAATGGGCAACAATATTCTGTAGTCCAGACCAGAGGAAACATTGAGCCATACGGAGTCATCAGTATCTCAGAGGGAGGTCTATACAGCTGCAGAGGAGGAAGAGGAGATCCAGTTTTTACAACAGAAACAAGCAATGAATTCTCTATTAGCAAAACTGGTGAGTTTGTTGCCTTTATACATCTTGAAACTGTTTAACCAGGAAACTGTATTTCTGTTCTCCATCTGTTGATATTTGGTGCATGAAGAGTTTTTTTATTTATTTATTATTATTTATTATCATATTTTGAAATAAACAACCGAGAATTACAGAATTCTCGGGGAAGAGCTGAATAATTTTAAAAACAAAAAGTAAATGCCTCTTTGAATCTTTATCACAGTGGAATAGATTTTTTTCTGACAACTAGAAGCATTTCAGATACAGTTTGTCTGTTTGATGAGAATATTATTTTTTTGTTAAATGTTTATTGTAGTCTGCCCTCTTTTGAAGTCTCTCTCAACTAGTCTTTTTGTAAAGATTTCCAGCAAAACTTTAAAAAAACGTTGTTTACACTCAAACAAATTCAAACCAAATTCAGACAGCTTTAGTAAAAACAGATATGTCCAGGTCTGAAGGTAGAGAAAAGTTCTAACCTAAGACATAATAACTGGTCCAAGTAATCTGTGACTCATGATGCTAGAAAACTTCCTACAATTTATGGGGTCACATATTAAAGTGATTTAAGTTTATATGTTGACAGGCTGGTAGAAATGGTTATCTCTGTATTCAATGTGATTTCTTGCTGCTTTATATCTGTCTCTCTAATTCCTAATGTTGTTTAGCTATGAAACATCTGTTGGCTTCTGGGATTTGGATAAATGTTGTAGTGTTATTAGAAAGAAAAATGAAATAGATAAGATTTTTTATTTCTATCACTCCTTAATGAGGGAGTATTATTTTTAATCCATATCAATCACGTTTACTGTATTTTTTATTTATATACATTTCTATCTGATTTCTAATTCTATATTATTAGTTTCAGTGTCTAAGCCTACTGTGATCCTTCAATCCAACTGGTCCCAGATATTCAGAGGAGAGAAAGTCACTCTGAGATGTGAGATCCATGGAGGTGGAGGAGCTCAGTGGACGTATGAATGGAGAACAACCAGCAGAAACTCTCCAACATCCAGTGAATACAAGATCAACACAGCTACTGAGTCTGGTGGTACATACTGGTGTAGGGCTAGAGGAGGCTACCAGATAACAGCCTGGAGTGATTACTTCAGACTGACAGTTAGAGGTGAGTCAGACTGTCTTCTATAAAGGCCTAAAATTAACTATTTCATTTATATTGTTCTAATCTATAAAAAAATCAGTTCAGGATTTTTCCATATTTTTTCAGAATGAGAAAACGTCACACATGAGTGTAAATATTCTGTTAGAATATATTATATACTTTCAAATACTGTGATAGAAAATGCAATTCTGTTTATTCAGGAATAATCTGTGGAAAACTTTAAGAAATATTTAAGATTTCTGAGAAAATAAAATGATTTGTTAGTTTATAGGCAGGATTTAACATTATTTTTCACCATCTGTGTCTCCATCAGATGAACCTCAGCCTGTCCTCTCTGTGTCTCCATCAGATAAACCTCAGCCTGTCCTCTCTGTGTCTCCATCAGATAAACCTCAGCCTGTCCTCTCTGTGTCTCCATCATGGCTGAGTCCTGGAGCCTCAGTGACTCTGAGCTGTGGGGGGTTGGAGCATCTATCTGCAGGATGGAGGTTCTTCTGGTATAAAGTGGTTCCAGCAAAATCCAGCAGCTCCTACAGCTTAGAGCTGCTGACTGGCAGAACCAACTGGACTGAACAGAACTCCTACCTCATTAATGGACAGAATCACACAGCAGGATATGTGTGCAGAGCAGGAAGAGGAGAACCAGTGTTTTACACTAAATACAGTGAAGCAAAGTTTGTCTGGTCTGCAGGTCAGTATATCTCTGTTCCTTCAAGGATCCTTGTGTTTTAAATTTTTATTATTTTTCAACAATTTGCATTTCACCTATAATGCTGTCCATTCTATTTACAAACAGCTCAGGTTTGTCAGAGTTTATCTGAAGTCTCCTTCAGGTTTTATTGGCTTCCTCTCATCTACCTGCAGTCCATCAGGTTAAGTCTGAGTGTATGTCTATATTCAGGGGCTGCATTGCCATTCTAGGCTGATTCTGTCATTTTTTCACCAAGATTCCTTAAAAATAAGGGGGCAACAATAGCAGACAGCCAAGGTGAACAACAGAACAAACAGAACAACACAATTGTGAATTAAACTTTAAAAAAATGCTTTCTGTTTACCAAGATAAACTTTTCAGATTTTCCTAGGTGGGAATGTAGCTTTGTAAACTTCATATATCTTCCATTTTATTATTGTAGCCTAGTCAAACTAGCTGTGAGTGCAGCAAACTGAAATCTTATCTAAGAAGTGCAAATTCTCAGTCATCTGGGTCATGACAACCACAAAAAACACAACACCAGCTTAAATCAAAGGCAACTGGACTTCTGCTCAGTTTTTATTAAAACGTTTGAACATTTAGGAATCTTTGTCAATTCTGTCGGCTCGTCCTAAAGCAGTTTCTGAAGACTTCTATAATTTAGGAAATTATTATTTCCTTTTTAGTTAAATATATAATTACATACAACTTAAAGACCATGGTGGCTCCACGGTTGTGCTCCCCATCGAGTTTGAAGCCTAAATATTTGCTGCAGGTAGATTGAGAGGAAACCTATAAAACCTGTAGGCCCTGAAGGAGCCTTCAGTTTAACTCCACCCCTGATGCCAAAACAGTGCCAACCTGCATTGCCATGGTAACTGAAAGTTATGAAGGGCCTTAGAAATCTGCAGCCACTCTAAAATTCAAATTTAAAAGATCCTATTAATTTTTTCTTTTTTTGTAGTTTATATGCTGGGTATTTCAAAGACATTGTTTTATTTTAAGATGTTAAATTTTATAATGCCAAATCTCTTTTTAGAGTCAATGTTAGCTGTCAATGCTTTAGTTTCATACTTCTGAACCAGTTCTGATTACTTTAAGCTTCATTTTAACACACAGAAAGGCGGCCATGTTACTCTGGTTCTCAAATCAATCCAATGGCATTCTCTACAATTATCTGAAGATTTTAGTGGTTATTAGGTCTGCATTGCCTTGGTCCCCATACCTTAGTGACTACCTGGTTGGTCCCACCTAGATCATTAAGGTCATCCAGTGGTAATCTACTGCTGATACTAAAGGGTAGAGGCTGCATTTACCTATTATTATATTAGAGCTCTGGAACTTTGAGACTGTGGGACTTTTGTCACTTTAAATAAGGAGAATATCAAAAAATGCAATTAGATTGTAATTCACTGTAGTTAGTTATTATTTTTCATTCCTTAGCTTTTAACCCCTCTGCTTGAAGGGAGGCTGTCACATACTATGGCTCTACAAATGTCTACACCAGTATCTTTCATTGTTTGCAAAGACTTTTGGAATACATTACGGTGCCTTGTTGGCTTATTGTATTTTATTTCTGCTTTTTCTTTTTGTATTTATCACTATTTGTTATAAACTTAAGTCTTCTCAATATTTACTATAACAAGATCATATTATCAGACGTACATGTGTGAATGTGTGCAATGAGTAAACCAGAGAGTAATGGAGCAAAGCAACCAGAGATGTGAAAAGAAAGAGAGAAAGTCCAGATCAAGTGTGAAAAGCAGAACAAAATGTTTGATGCCAAGAGGGAAACAGCTGAGTAGCGCTTAGAATAAATATGAACTTTGGTTTTCACTGAGGCAGGAGCTGAAGCTGCCAGAGTTTGTTAGATGATGGTGAGGCTGCACAGCAGAGTTTATGTCTATTGATCGCAATTAGTAAGAAAATCTCTTCATGCTCAAAAAGAACAAAGTAAACACTATCAGGATGAATGCTTGGCATCTATTGCTTTGTTTTAACACGAATATCTGAGGTTTAGGGTCTTTGCTATAGAAGGTGATTAGGTCCCTTATGATGTTTATCTTTCTGTAAATCGATATCTTTTTACAATCCATTTAAATTAGAGCACATTCTTCAACATGACTGTTAAAAAGAGGCAATGCGATTATTTTACCATTATTTTATTTATTTCCAGACTCTCATCCAGCTGCTTCTCTCTCAGTGACTCCAGACAGAGTTCAACATTTTATCTATCAGTCTGTCACTCTGAGCTGTAGTGGGAACAACACTGAGTGGAGACTGAGGAGGTTTACAGAAACAGGTGGACTATCAGACATTCACTGCTCCAACTGGTGGACAATGACTGGATCCTTATGTTCTATAAACACAGACTGGTCTCACAGTGGAGTGTACTGGTGTGAGTCTGGATCAGGAGATTTTAGCAACTCAGTCAACATCACTGTACAGGGTAGGTTATGATTGATGATTATATTTCCTTTAACCTTTTCCTGTGTTTCCACATACTGTAAAAGCTGCAGTTACTGTGAACATAACATTAATATCCAGAGACTGATATGTTGTATTTACTCTCCAAGAAAACTTAGAAGTTAATAAAAAGGAGGTGAAATATTCCTTTAAAATGCTTCAGCTGAGCTTCCTTCTTTCACTTTTCTGTTTTTTCAACATGTGGCTTCGTGTGATTAAGTGTTACATATTTGCTCCAAAGGAGTTTTTAGCCAAAATAACAGATACATTTTCTCCCTGTGGAACAGAGAACCTGAAATATATTTTAAAATATATCAATAGAGGAGCGTAAAAAAAAAAAAATGTAGTGTTGGAGCTTCATCAGAGCAAGACAACAATTCACAGAAAATGAAAACATCATCTTTTACCATCCTGCTCTTTCTAGAAAGAAGTTTCATTTAAACCTTAGTTTGTCTTTGTGTTTCCTTTGTTGTTTATTAGAAAATATAATGCAAGAAACTAATTATTGCGAAAATTCAGGTGAGGCTAAAAATGTGACCTGAGGAGTTCTTCAAAGAGAATATATAGGGACAAAGAAAAATGACATGCAAAATATTTTGTTTTATGTTCATTAGGCTCTCATTGCTGGCCCTAAAGAGTTGTTCTTTCAGCAGTTGAGATGTTTTAGAGTCTTAATCCAGTTAATTATTAATTAATTACTTAATTAGCTGATGATTAATTCAATTATCAATCAATTACAATTAAAGGCAATAAAACTTTTTAGCATTAAAAGTATCTTATTTTTTGATAAATGTTTGAGAATACAAATGCAAAATAGAAACATATATTTCAGTAAATCTAAAGGGGAATGATTCATGTTTTTATCTGTTCTCAATATTAAATAAATGAGAGGAAAATTTACACTAAGATCTCTGACTTCAACACTAAAGTTAAACGACAAGGATTAGTAGTGATGTTTAAATTAAATTTTGTCGGAACTTAACCCTTTAAAACCAAAGCTATATCTGACACATGAGTTTTTTAGACCTCTGCATCACCAGAGTGATATTTTTGTTTTTGAAAACCCTGACATACACCAAGAGACACACATAGTGAACAGAAAATCTATTAAATATTATAGAGAAATGACAAATGAGGCAAATACATTATCTAATTTAACTTATACCTAATGCATTTTATTTTTCTCAGAAAGTTCAACGTAAACTCAAATTAGAAAAAAATATATAATATATAATAATAATTAAGAGTAGGAACTGAGATAGAGCAGAAAATATTTTTAGTTTCTGGGAGAAATTAATAAAAGCAAACAAAATTTTATTATATCAGTCCCTCTTCTTTAATCTCCTAAACATGAAAAATATAACGCCCACATTTTAACTTCATTATCTTCATTATCACTGAAAACATCGAGTGAACAAAATAAATGTAAATTAAATTATAAATGATTAAAAGCAATGCTTTTTTATAGGGTCCATTTTTGTAATTAACATAAATTAAGAACGATAAAAAATATCTGAGGAAAAAGAGATTCTTGCATTGTTGGTAAAAATTAACTTGGTTTAAATTTCCAGAGATAAAAAGCTAATTTCTTTTTTTTAATTATAAATATATACTTGTTCACACATATATAGACATAGAGAGTTTGCCATAATATACAAGGTAGATAGGTCACTTATCAAGACATTAACAGCTGGTTATTGTGTACGTTTTTGTAAATATATTTTCAGTGTGGGCGAAGGTCCAGACAATCTGGAATCTGTTTGATTATCTAGGATTATGGCAGCCTGTTCCATAGCAACCAATTCCAAAAAGTCTTTGTTCCAATTCTGTACATCAAAACAATTATAGTTCCTTTCCTTCCAGGTCAGCATATTCTAAATATATCTCCCTAAATCTAAAGATCAACCACAGCTGATTGCTGACCAAAGCCTGATATTCTGACTGTTTTACAGATAAATATTATTATGGTATCATCCTGGTGAGCCCCGTCCATCCTGTGACTGAGGGAGATCCTGTTACTCTGACCTGCAGAGATAAAGAACAAAAACTTCTCTCCAATGTGTTTTTCTATCACAATAACAAACTGATCCATAATGGCAGCAGAGGGGAGCTGAACATCTCTGCAGTGTCAAAGTCAGATGAAGGTTTCTACAAGTGTGAACATTCAGGAAAGGAGTCACCACAGAGCTGGATGGCTGTTAGAGGTGAGAGAATGAAAACATTTCATGGATTTTATGGTGTTAGTGAAAACAGAGCATGTTTATGTGAACATGTCTCACAATCTGCAGATAAATAAAACCCATTCCATTTCCATTTTCCTTATTTCCAGTAACTTCATCCAGTCCTGTCAGCTCTTCATTTACTGTGCTGCTGATTGTTGGACCAGTTTTTGGAATCATTCTCCTTATTCTCCCACTCATGTTGTGGCACTGCAGACGTTCCAAAGGTCAGATCACATTCTGTCAGATTGTACATTTAATATTCTTTAAATAAATGCAGTTGTTGTAACTTAAGTTTGATTTGAACTATTAAAGATAGAAATTAATAACAGATGTCTTTTTCACAGATTCAAATTCTTCCAGGTATGTACCCCACTCTGGTTTTTGTCTATATTAATATAAATAGCATTAATAAAGTATACTGTATATAATCCCTGGAATTGGTTGTTATAAATTGTATTTGTATCTTGTGTTTCAGATCATATAGAACCAATCAGAAGTCCTCCACAAATCGCGGAGCAGAGACTAATGACCATAGCTCTGCTACGAAGGGTAGGAAGCTAAATAAGTATTTTCAATATGCATAAAGATATAAACATATCTTTATCTCTTTTTTGAATAAACTAACTTAGTTAACATGTGAATATCAAGAAAAACAACCAAAAAAGCTACAGTGAAAAACAATATATTGTAGTGAAATAAATATGGAATCCAATTTAAATACAAAAAATGTTCTACTTGTTATATTTTTGCTTTTGAGTGATTTCGCTTCATAAATGTATGGCAAAATACTGAAAAGTACAACAAATGTTAACTTTATTATCTTTAATGCTATATATATATATATATATATATATATATATATATATATATATATATATATATATATATATATATATATATATATATATATATATATATATATATATAGTGTTTTATTGTCCATTGACAAAAATGATTAACCCTGTAAAGTTTTCCTTTTTACTATAGATGATGTCCTCTATTCATCAGTCAACCCAGGAGCCACTGGATCTGGTAAAGTATATCTATTTAAATCAGTAACAGTCTCAATAACTGGTTATAAAACAAAACAAAGAAATAAAAAAACTTATCTAATTGCTCTAAAACCATTTCTGCTGCAGAGGAACCCACAGAAATCACATATTCCATTATTCCATTAAAAAAACTCAGAAAAAAGAGTAAGTTCTAAACAAACCTCCTACAAGAAAATAATCCAGTGATTCCAGACTTTATGATTTTGTGTTGTTTATGATCTGATTCTCAACAGACAGACATTGTGAACCAGAGGATAGTGTTATTTACTCTGAAGTGAAACCAGGAGCTGCAGGTACAGTCAGTCTTTACATATCCATATATATAGGTTCTATACATTATACTACCTATAAAATGAGGTTTTTGAAATACGGGAGAACAACAATATAAAATAATTTTATCTATTTACTTTTACTTTAACATATTTTACTATTTTACTATAGCTAAAAAATATAAATGGAGCAACTAGAGGTTGCACAAAATGATCCTTGCAAATAATTTTGGTTAAATTTCTCCTGGCAAAGACAACAATGACCTTGAAGGGGTGTAAAGAAGTTATGATTTGTACTTGTAGTATTCTACATTATATAACATCACTCTGCTTTGTTTCCTGCTGTAGAGTTAGTTTACTTCAGGTTGACTACGTTTTTTCTTTTTTTTTTAAGGTGGTTAAAACTATGAATTACGAATTACTTAAAATCTCTATTTATTTCCTAAATGACTTATAAAATCTGTCTTACCTTACGCTACCTATCAAAACTCATGGACAACAATGTTTTTCATTTAAGTGTTAATATGATCTATAATGCACCATGTGAGCTTCAGACATGACAATATTATTATCCAACATTGAACAGATGCCATTGATTGTAACTGCAACCTACTGTGTTTTGGCCACACCTATGTCTAAATAGTCTGCGTATTACTGCACGTCTCAAACTGATGTTGATCTGAGCAAGGTCCCATCACCTTCATATACTTAACTTTCTTTTCATGGATTCAACTTCAATACCTTAAATTATCAAAGATATTTTTTCTGGCAGTTCACAATACTTATTTGAAATTAGCATAAACAACTGATCAGTTCACTTTATTTTTTTTAGTACACTGAATGTTAGGCGTTACAGTGTAGGATGCTTTTGAGGGACAATGGTGGACAGATGGGGCTTTTTCAGCTGTGCATTTCTTTGTGACTCACTTTTTTAGTGTTGCTTTACATTGTGCTCCCCACATATCAAAATTATCTATAGCTATTGGATAACTTCACCAAAAATCTCTCTGAAAATCCCCTTTCACTGCCTCACCCAGTTATGAAGTGTGCCACAGTATTTGTTGTTACTGTGTTTACTTTTTGTATTAAAAGCCTTTACCTTGTTTTAAGAGAATTTTCTGCAGGTTATTTATGACATAGGGAATTGAAGCAGCCCGGATTTCTTGGCATCTAAGAAAACTCCTGTCATTATTATTATTTGACCTGGTCAAATGCTTGACATTGCTTTCTTTTGTCGGATAGTCGGAGAGAAGGGATAAATACGGGACTGTTCCGCACAAATCTGGATTTTCTATTTACCGTACAACCAACAGAGGGCAGCTGAATGCTACAAAATAAAAATAAAAATGTCAAAATGCACTGTTACATAAAGATTGCATCCTTTGGGTCAAATTTATAAAATTTAAATGGGTCAATTTGTGGTTTAGTTACTCTTTAAATCCCACATCAGGTGTGATTAAATCCATTTTCTGTTTCAGAACCCACTCAATTGTATGCTGAAATCAACCACAAGAATAAACCTAAGAAAAAGAAAAAGAAAGGTAGAGTATGCATTCACCTTTTTTTCCAATGTCCAGTGTATTTATTAGTGTTGCACCGATGCCTTTTTTTGGCCCTGATACCGATGCCCGATACCTGGCTGTGTAGTATCGGCCAATACCGATACCATACCAATACCATCTGTTTAAAATTGATGCAGTATCGGGGCCCCGCCCGATACTGCTATCGGTGTAACACTAGTATTTATTGAAATAACTGTAGGCATGGAATTTATTGAATACAGTATTGTTACCAGAACTACCTTTTCTAGTTCTCCATTTAGCTTAATTTATTTATATTACAAATGGGTTTTCTATTTATGTGATCATTATATGGTACAAGTTGTGTATATGGGCGTGTTCTAGTAAGTATGACATTAGAGATCAGAGTCCTGCTTGTTGATTTATCATTCATATAATTTATATATCTATATAATTTACATACATTGTTTCACACAAATTTTCTCCTTTCACAGACAAGAAGAGCCCTGCAGCAACAGAAGAAACTGTTTATTCTGAGATACAATCATGAACAGCTCTGGATAATGAATCTGCCCTATAGGCTGCTTGCTCTGCTAGATTTGTCTGCATTGTTGGGCTTTAGTTACAACATCAGGAGACAAACTAGGGATCTACATTGTTTTTAAGCTCAAGCTTCTTGCTTTTGATGCTTATGATTGGTAACTGCACGCACATGATCCAAAAGAAACTGCAAAACGAAAAGTTAAACATTGGTGAATTTTCATACTTGATATTATACATTTACAGCCTGTCTTTCCTGTTTTAAATAAAAATAATGCTTCATAGACAACATTATTAGAACAAGCATCTTTTAGATATGAAATATGTACACATGCTAGTATTGTTTTGTACGGTGGACTTTATTAATATTTTTACTATTCTTCTTTAAAGTAATGTTTTTGTTGTTCCACACTTCTTAAATGCAGGTTCACTATTTAATCTATAAAAAGAGACTTCAAAGATATAATATAATTTACAACTAAAACAAGCAAAATAATCTTTCTTCTCTGAGATTATCAACAACACATTATCAATGCTCGTGCCTTTTTAGCCACAGGCACAGCTGAAAGGTTAACAAACCCTCTTATCTCTGTGCCAATGAATGACTTTGCAAACTTCTTTGCTTAGAAAGTTACCCTATCCTATCTTTGCCTGTAACAATGGCAGCTATATTTGCATGATCAGTGGTTAACAGGTAGTTTTAATATGTATAAGTGATAAGGGAGAAAGCCCACCTGAAAACTTGTGTTTGTTGTGAATCTGTGCAGTCAGTTCCTCAAGATTACAATCCTGACTTCAAATATTATTTCTCTGTCGGATCCGCTCAGTCCCTGGTAAATCGATGGTGGGCTGTCACTAGGAATCCCATTCATCAGCAGCCTCTGGCCCAGTCGCCTCTTCACTCTTTGCGGTGGCTGGAAGTAGATGTTAGGGTTTTTCATGTACAGGCAGCAGATAAATTAAATTGAAAATATTCTGTCAGAAGAAGCAGCATTTAGTTCCTATGCTCCACTTCTCTACAGTAGAATAAACTTCTAGTAGACTATAAATGAGCTGAAGGTCTGTGTTAATTTAAGTTAAAAAAAAACAAATAACAAACACAAAAAAACATTTGTTTATAAATGTATGTGACTGCTGTTAAAATTAACTGTTAACTGGAGTTTCATTAGCTTACGTTTGTGGTCCAGCTTTTCTATGTATCATGCTTTTATTTTTCTTCTATTTTATTGTTTAATTCTTATAAATAATTGTTTTTGCACTGAATTATTCTACTGTATACAAATAAAGTTGCCTTGCCTTGCAAACAAACATCAAAGCCAGGACTAATGTGTTACTGGATGTAGATGAAAACATAGATAGTGTTGTTGCTTAGATTAATAAAAACAGCATTACTAACTTTTTATTAACATGTTACATTTTAGTAACAGTATTTCTTTCTATCAAGATAGAGAAGAAACAGTGGATAAAGGAATTGGAATTTCTATTATATATTAATTTATCCTATTTACTCATTATAAAAGTGTTCACTCAGTCTGTTTCACTTTCAAGGCCAGACAATTATCTGCAGGATGGTGTTTGTAGACCAGACATTGCTTCTTTCCATAACAAACCAGATTCTTTCTCAAGGTTTATTCATAACATGTTACTGTTCAACTAAAGTGTCTGTAATTTGTTTTGACTCTGACTACTTTTCCATTGTTGTAAGCAAGGGGGAAAGAACGTATCTCTAGCAGAACAGGGCAGAATGCTGTGCTTTAAGGGCTGTATGATGAACTGTTCTCTCTTTGCAAAGATATGAATAAGTGTGCCGACTAGTGGCGAGTCAAATTATTTAGCAGTCTAGGCTTCCAGAACATTGAAACTCACTGGTTTGTAACAGCCCTATTCTCCAACAAACACCTTAAGATGCACCTGTTTATGCAGAGTGTTCTTGCATAGGACCTTTTTGTTTTGTTTTGATAAATTCAATTACATGATAGAATATGTTGGATGAAGCAAAAACATAATCAGGAGTCAACCTGTGGATTTAGTTTAATGAAGCATATTAAAACAGAATCCAGAAAGTGGCATAAATGGACCACCATTGCAGAAGTGAGTAGGAAAGACGTGAAAAAGAGCAAAAATTTATAAAAAAAAATATTCTAGTGACATTTCATAAGATTTTTTATTTAAAGATATTAATCATAAAAGGATTATACTATTATAGCACAGTAAAAAACAGCGTAGTTAAAGAGTTAAATGAATTTATACTGTATCGGAAGCCTCAGCACACATGTCCAAAATGTGAATCTTTTAAGGTGCACAAAAACTTATGTCTGAAAGGTGTAGCGTCTCATTTCCTCAAGATCCTTGCTCTGTCCAGTGTAGGACTCTATAGTGGTATAGTGGAGAATGTTATTTTACCGGGTAGATCATCTAAATAAGTGGTCCTCCTACTTGTCAGTCATTCTGGTGATTATGCTTACGTAATGTAGTCCCAATTTTCATTTACCAGTGGTGAGTCTGACATATGGAAAAAATACAAATCTTTTGGAAAGTAAGCTTGCATGAGGAACGCAAAAAGTAACTTTTAAACAGGGCATACTAGAGGAGAAATGGGCTTGTGCATGCTTTCGCACTCGTCCAGTAGGCGTTCCCTCTAGGGAGTGGGTACAGGGTTGTGCATGTGCATTTTTTTTGTAAAGGGGAGAGAGGGCAGGTCTTTTCACCAATTTGCAAAAATCCTCTACGATGACCATTTCAGAACCCTACATCATTTCTAAGTGGGAGAACCTGAGGGGTGTTCAAATACTTTTTTCCCTCACTGTATATATAACCCCTCTCCCACACACAAACACTCACATACATTTACTTACTAACACTAGGACGCACAAATGTCTACATGGCAATGTGTCATGGTTTTATCTAAAGCTCGGACCCACATGCAGAAAAAACAATTCAGAGAGACCAGGGGAAAAGGTTTAACAAGTTTTATTAAAGAGATAAAGCACGGTGCAGTGTTGCTCTGAGCTCTGCTCTGTAACTCG